ATGATCTGAACGTCATTGGTGTTGTTGTATTGCATAGCTTAACGAAGGCCTCCTCTATTGGTTATGCACGTATTACCTTTCTTAAGAGAGTGCATAGGTGTATCACAAACATTTCGATCACCAAATGTACTCATCAGATCATATATTAGAGAGAAAAGGGGCAAATATGCCTTGAACTATTAGCGATTCTATAATTAGACTTATAAATTAGAAGACCTGTAAATACATCTATAATACCTACTATTGACCTTTTTAAAATAATCAATCAAGCCCTTTTACCTATTCTTCATGGTAACTTCTCACGAGAAAGTTATCCTCTTACCACAACCAATAGATGAAGCAGATAAAAAACAATTCAATTGCTTGAATTCAATGGATTGAAGGGAGTATTTACAAGATTTTTTATTTAGGGCCTGAGTACAAAGGCTATGTTTGGCACAACGGGCTGAAGCTGAAGGCTAATGTCTGAAATAGGAGCTATTGTCTGAATGATAAACTATTGTCTGAAGCTGAACATTGAATTGCTGAATCTGAATCGCTAGCTGGGTGGAGTAGACCCGTTTGGCAAAAAGAGCTGAAAACATGCAGGAATAATATGAAATTACATTAAAGGACATATGATTTATTAATATAATAAAGTGTGTTTATCATAATTATTTTTATATTTACATCTTTTGTTAAAATATATGTATACATGTAATAGAATACATATTATATAATTTAGTACTTCGTATAAAATAATATAATAAGAACTTTCCAATTTAATATACGTGTAATAAGATATTTTATAATGACATTTATTTTAAGCTATGCCAAAAAAACTAAAACACCTTTTTCCAGTTTTAAGAATTTTGTTTTTTATTTTAAAAAGAGAAAAACCGCAAACAGTAGAAATGAAACTTGTTAGACTTTGATCCACTAATCAAGTCAATATAAAAATAGATAAGCAATATACTAGTGCAGAAGAAACCTCAGAAATTAGAGGGATGATGTGTATCCACTATCCATTATCCAACAAGCAATACACAAACAAATATATAATCGAAAAGAAAAGCAGATGGAGATAAATTCTTGGGAGAAAGCAATGATCAACGAATTGAATAAACTGATCACCCGATGGAGTAAATAAAGGTGAGTCTGGAGGATAATTTAGGAACCGAATTTTTTTTAATAACCGGCTGAATACAAACGTTGGAGTTGATAGCGTTTCTATTCAGCTCTAATTTTTCAGGTTCAGCCCATTTAAGTTCTTTTGCCAAACAGGTTTACTTGTAAAATAATTGACTGAAATTTTAATATTTCAGCTCATTTTGAGCTTATTTGGCTTGCCAAACATAGCCAAAATCGCTAACTATTTGAGGGCTTAATAGGTTGATGAGTGATTGGACTAGACTGACTTAGTTGCTAAGCTCTCTATTATAGACCTATCATGTGACGGAGTACTACTCCATAGTTTATAAACAAAAACGCTCGATCATTTGTACACTTCGAGACCAGAGTTAAATTTATGATTTGTAGAGCTTTAAAGCATCAATAAATTGAGTAGAGGACTAGATTAGATGTCACTCTTTCAATTACTATAATTATATTTTGATTAAACATTCTTTTCTATAAACTAGTTGGACCAATACTTGAAGCAAATCAGTTTAAAGCATGCAAATTAAATCAAATAATGGGTCTTTAACTAGTGGGTACGTGATATTTGTCTCTTTTACATGGGATCCATCGTTACGGATCAGAATTTTTGCAAGTCATGAAAATTTTCACATTAGCAAATATATTATCCAATATGGAGTATAGGTATTTGAATTGCCGAAAACAAAAATTAGGGCTAATTTGCTTAAAAAAATTAGGGCTAATTGAAAGTATTGAACCAAACGAATGGAAAAATACAGTATCAAATGAAGTACTCCCTCCGTCCCATTGTACTTTGCCAATTCTCCCTTTATGATTGTCCCAGAAAACTTTGCCACTTTCTTATTAAAGCAACTAATTTGTGATTCTGCACATTTGTCTCTCTTCTGTACAAATCTCAACCACACAGTTTTTACTATTCTTATTTCTCACCTACTTTGCACTTGACAAAGTCTACCGTGACGGAGGTAGTACTTTTCTACCAGCTGGTACAATCTAGCGTTAATTAATACTACGTACTACGTAAATGAATTCGTTGAACCAACTGTCCATTATACGGAGTATTTGGTTTCACTGCAGGTGTATAACGTTATTTTGGGGCAAACTTGGAGTGGATAAACAGCCTTACGTACAAACCAAAAGGTCTTATTCTAATGCAAAGATTTTTCTAAAAATCGTACACAAGCAAATATTACCCTAGAAACACATTATTTGATCCAGATGGATATAGACGAGAAACATGTTTTGTTAGTCCTATAAATGTTACAAACGTACTACTTTTGTCCCAACCAAAGATGATGCTTCTGTATTTCTTATTTGAACTGTTCCGGAATGATAGTTTTGTTTCTCATTGTGGTAAAAATATTAAAGAAAATTAATATTTATATTTCTCTTGTTATGAATCATAAAAGTAAAAGTAAAGGAATGAATAATACTATAAAGTAAATTTATATGGATTATATACAACACTTTCTTGACATTTAAACTCAAAAAGAATAGGATGGGATCATCAAATTAAAAAGGAAGGGAGAGATATTTAGTCTAAATTGTTTTGACAACCCATAAATGATGCACAAACTAACCTAATGTAAGACTTGACAGTTGACATGCACCCACTTATCTATCCTTGTTAAACACAAAAACACCTAAAAGGCTAAAACTACATACGTAACTACGTAAGGAAATTTTGACCATGCCATAATTGATTTAAAAATTCATATCCGTGCCTATAAAATATGCGTGTTAATAATGCACAAAGTTGAGATGTTTTCTTCTGGATTGAAATTTAGTGATATAATCTGGTTTGTTTGAGTCTGGTTTGGTCTGACCTGAACTAGCCTGATTTGGTAAATATCTGATTTCATGTACTCCCTCCGTCCCGAAAACAAGTTTCCGGGTTGACTTTCACACGTTTTAAGAAAATAAAGTTACTGAAGGGTAAATTTGACTGTTTTGACACTGTTTCGATTCTGTTTGACACTGTTTTGCACCGTTTTGATGTAGATAATTTGCCAAATAAGAAAATGAGAAGTTTATTTTGGGACATCCAAATAAGGAAAATGGAAATTTGTTTCCGGGACGGAGGGAGTATTTGATAACTATGAAAATATGATATGGTTTGTCTAAGTCTGATTCGATCTAGTCTGTTAAAGTTTGATTTGGTCTGATATGAGACAGCTGACAATCCACAAGAAAACACCTTATTACTCATTAGAAATCTAAGTTTCAAGGCTTATAATACAACATGCAAATATTTAACTTAAAAGTAATAAAATACTCCGTATATAGTAGTAGTGTGAGTAGTGTCCTTCAATCTCTATATTATTACTCCGATCATATACTCCATATTCCATAACACACGACTCCTACTTTTTTTTTGAAAGGACACGACTCCTACTTCCCTTTTATATTTTCAATCATGTTCTACATTATCGATATCCCGTACTCCCTCCACCTTATTTTATTTTACGACCTCTCTTTTCCATGTATTCCTAAAACTTTGTCATTTTATCATTAAAGCGATTAATTTGTACTTCTTCTTAATCAAATCTCAACTATAAAATTTTCACTTCTTATTTCACACTTAACTTAAACATGGTAACGTCTAATAATGGAACGTACGTATGTATGTTTTAACTATAGCAATAGTATTTTGATTGTGTATGCATGCTTTTGTATGTCCGAATCTGCCTCGACATATTGTTGAAATGGAGATGTTTTTATGTTTTTTTACGCCATGGCTGTTATTTCAAAACAACTAACTTTATCGCATACTCACATACAATAAGCTAAGCTAACTCAACAAGCTATATATACTCCCTTGTAACAAAAAAATCTCCTCACTTTCTTGTTTTCGTCCATAAAGAAAAAATCTTCCCATTTCTAAATCTTTTCATCCTATCATATCCTCAATAATTTTGAAAATAATACACTATTACAATTACTTTTTTTGGATTTACCCTTCATTCCATCACATTATTCAACGATCTTCCCATCATATCCTCAACAATTTATATTATCTTTCACTATCCTTAATCTACCTACTTTTGAAATACAAAGGTTTTTACGTTACGGAGGGAGTGTAATAAAACATTTGACACAAACGCCATTGAAAAACCACTGGCAGTGCTAGTACTTCTGAATATGCATTGGATCGAAAAGTCATATACTACGTAGTTCACTACAAAAAAACATCAAAATAGGCACAGACTTGACACGGATTGGGTGAGTTTGGCACGGACTGTAACTTATTTTTGGCACAGCGCCGTGCCAAATAGCTGGTGACAAAACGACTTTGGCACGGAATTTGGCATGGATTTAACGCATCCGTGCCAAATCTGTGCCAAATACCCTACGAATTTTGGTAAATCCGTGCCAAAGCTCCGTGCCAAATTCGTGCCAAAATCATTGTTTTTTTGTAGTGGTTGATATACTCCGTATTAGATTTCAGTGGTATTTAAAGAGAAAATTCCTTATATATGACTAAAACATAAATAAACCACTATCATTTTTCCCTCTAAAATATATAGGATTTATTTACTTCTAATGCCGAAAGTTTTATACATTTAATAGGATCAAATAAGTATTATTTTGAGAATAAAGTATATGTAGTCGTATTAATATGAATTGCATGTTTTTTACCACTTTGCTATACATGATTACGTATTAATAAAGAAAATAAAAGTGATGTTTCGAAAGTTATGAATTTTTTAGTTACAATAGTTTTTATGCAAACGTTATGGTGTTGCAATTAATAAAAAGTGAAGTATAATACTGATTACTGAGATATAGATAATTACATATAGGTAGTATGTTGTCTTCTACCATCTTTGGGCAGAAAAACATTGCTGGCTACTACATGAATTGTGAGTACGGAGCACATATATGCATGATTTATCTCCTTAGCTACCAAGCTTCTTCCCTATAAATTGGAATCTACCTTAGCCAATATGGCAATATCCATCTCTTCTAATAAATAAACCACGAATTGAAAACATGATGACGGCTCTTAACCTTCATCATATCCAATCTCTTTTCTTCTTCTTGTCCTTTCTTCCCTTAATAGCCTTTTCATTAAGACACTTCCCTTCACAGCCAGTATTGGGCAGCGACGGGAAGGAGCTCAAGCTCGGGAAGCCATACTACGTCTTCTCCACCCTCTTCCCCAAGGCACACGGGTTATGCCTCGTGGACAACGCCGACTGCCCCGATGATGTCATCGAGTGCCCCTCCTTCTACACTAACCTCATCGGCCTGCCCATCACCATCTCTCCCCTCAGCCCGAGCGAGGACACCATCGTCCGAGAAGATACTCCATACCACATCAGCTTCCCCTCTGCCGTTAGCCAAAACTGCAGCGATGAAAATCTCTGGTAATACATATTAAGAAAATTCTAACACACATTATGTGAAGGACTTTTCCACGTGAAAATACATTTTCTAAGAGAAACACATTGTCTACGTCAATTTTTCAGTCTCAAATATTACATTCTTGTGGAAAAGTCTTAATATGAACAAATTTATTAGTTACAGAACTAAATATGCAAAGTTATATGATTACAAAAATGCAAAAGTCACGTAACTAAATTTACAGTTTTTATCAATATTTGAATGTGATTTTTTTTATAGGTACATAAAAGAAGATGAGATCCCAAACAAGGAATTCGTGGCAATAGGCCCCGAGAGTCAAGCGGAGGAATTTAAGTTCCAGAAAGTTTTGGGCGGGTACAAGATCTCATACTGTGTGCTGATTCCGATTCCGCCCACGCCCGTTTGTTACGGAATCGGGTTGATACCGCAAAACGGGTATAACCGTTTGGGTATCGGGCTGGGTGTCAATCTGACCCAGTTTTACTTTACTAATAATGTTACACACGTACACAACCATCACCAGGCTCCAGCCCTTCCCGAAGTGGTCAACAACAAGCTACCCAGTAATCATCAAGATAGCTAGCTAATTAAGCTACAATTAATAACATATAAGTAATATATATACGTTGATCGAGTTAGTTATTATCGAATTTGTGGCGTGTTTATTTGAAGTTTGCTTTTTGATTTTTAAACATGCAGCATACAATAATAATTTGTTTAATTTATTGTTCACCTTTCGCTTTGTACTAGCGTACTACTATACGTAAATTGTATCAGCTGGTTTTGTTATATTTCTTTTGGATTTGGATTTTGGAACCTTTATAATGTAACGACGTACCATCATTCACAGTTAATTTTATAAATTAAAAGAGACGACTTCTTATATTGTGGTTTTATTTATGTACAAGTGTAATGAGGTTTATGTATGCTAGTTTGACCGGTTCAATGGAATTTAGACTTTCGTATGATGAAAACCAATTCGAGCTCTCCTTGTCTATAAATATTTATACATGTATAGAGTATGATTTTTTTTGTTAAAAGATGTACCCGTAGTATTATTTCATCAAACAATATCATTTATTTGAGGGGAGGCAACTCCCATGTAAGGTGAAGAGAGTGTTTGCAATTGCTTCAACTTTAAAAAAGTGATTTTTTAAAGTGATTTTGGGAAAAATGATTAATAGTAAAAGTTGGTAGTGTTTGAGAAAAAAGTGATTCTGGAAAAGTAAAAGTTGATAGTGTTTGGTAAAATAAGTATTTTTTGTGTAATAGAAAAAGTGAGAAGCAGTTTAAAACACCCTTCTACCTGCTTCCAGCTTTTAGCTTTTAAGTGATTAATTTAAGCAGAAGCTGTCATTTGAAAACACTCTTTTTAACTTTTTTTAAGCCAAAAGCTGAAAAGCGCTTTTTTTAAGCAAACCCAAACACTCCTGAAGACCGGTGAGTCAAAATGTGAGGCTTCTATTGGCCCGGTGGTTGACTGCTACTTCTCAATTAAGACGGCATGGGGAGATTTGTTGGATTCCCTCCTTAATTGAGAAATTAATTTGAACTCTAGAATGCCGCGGGAATATTTAGAATTTTCTAGATGTGTGTAGAGAAGTATTGAATTATCTAGAATAGTCTAGAGCTTTCTAATAAGACGTGAAATTATCTAGAAGCATGTGCAAGAGTGTAAAATATTCTAGAACATTGTAAAGTTTTCTAGAGAAGTGTGAAGTCCTCTAGAAACGTGTCGAAATGTGTGGAAGAACATACACTCAAAAGAAATGTAGAGTTATCTAGATTCTTCCAGAAGATTAGAGAAGATTGTGGATACTTCTTGAAAGACTCTAGAAGTGTCACACCCCAGAACTATCTAAATACATCAACAACTGACGTACAATTCGAATAAGTCAACCAAGATCAAGAATATTCGAAGTATACAAGGCATCATGAATACCATTCACACATACTACATCCATAAAAAAACATAATAATGTAAACCACTCAAGCTTCAACTTGAAATGGTAGTGGGATGCCATCGAAGGAGTCAATACTTTCCCCTAACTCCGAAGTACTAGTGATAACAACCAATAAATGTATAACAATTATTTCAAACACAAGACCCTCAAGTAGGGTGATAGTATAGTCTAGAGCCCTATGTCGTAACTCTAGGTTACCCAATTTTAAAACATACATACTCATATAAAGTAATCAGCTTGTTAGACCGTTTTCATTTGAACAACCTACTCCCATCGCCTTGCGATGATTAACAACAAACAACCATACATATTGCCCAAACAATAATGCATATGATGCACTCGTACGTGTTGCCCAACAATAATGCATACGGTGCTAGTTTTTTGTATTGTCCAACAATAATTCTTTACTACACAATCATATGTGTTGCCTAGCAAAAATGCATATGATGCATCCATATGTGTTGCCCAACAATAATACATACAATGCCACGCCTCACGTTACTCAACAACAATTCGTCACAACACAATCCTAAACACATTTTATGTCTGTAACATGTCATAAAAATCAAATCACTTAGGGTCATCCCTAAGGACGGCCCCTAGCTTAAATCAAGTTTCATACCTTATCAATCTGGCCACTTGAAGTATATTCAAGTACAATTCACACAATCCAAATCTTTGGATCAATTCTATCAACAATTATAAACAATCTTAAGTTAGTATCTAAATACTACTAAGATATTCCTATCAATTCAAACATTCATATTAGCTATGCCCCAACATTTAGATATGTGGCAACTATACCCTTGATCATTTCAGAATATAAATAATCATTTAGATATCCATACAATCCATTCATGAGCTAGAAATACCTATTTTAAGCATCAAAATCCATAAAAATCATGAATTTATCATTTGGATAATCCAATGCTTAACCTTGAAGATATAAGCAATTAGATGTCGATGTTAGTATCCAACCTTTTAAACGATTAAATAACCATATAAAGACCCTATTCTACACATTTAACGTATAGAAAACTTCTCTTATTTGGCCATATGGTTTATACACAATCAAGGGAAAAACTAGAAACCAAACACACTGTTTTATTCGAGCTTTTTATTCTTTCCTTTTTATTTTCCACAAGTTTCTTCTCATTGTTTTTCCAAAACAGAGCGTAAATTCAATTTTCAAATGGAAACATGTACCAAACAATTTTTGTTGAACGTGACTTTGAGTTCTTTTTTTGCTAAGTTTTGTTGTTGAAGTATGTGTGGCGGTTCATATGTTAAATATTATTTTAGGAGCCTATTTAGTAACACCAAAATGGGTTGATTTAGTTTAATTCTTTGAAATTGGTGAGGTTATTCTTGATTAGCTAATTCCAAAAATGTGATCATTTTTACAAAAAAAACATGATGTGATTAAGAAAGTCACATATTTGGAATAATATCATATCACTATTGTATGTCAATATAAGATTTTTATGTCATTATTATATGTCACTATCAGATTTTTGTGTCACTTTTACTATGAAATATGTCACTACGACTGTTGAAAAAAATTTCGACAACCTTTTCCAGTGGAACTTTACACCACCACCGACAGCGATTCGTCGTCGCCTTATAGTGACCAATCGCTCGTCAGTGACACCTCAGACTTTCAGGTTACTTATGAATGTCACTGTCACCGTGAACTATGTCATAGTGATCCCCAGAGAATTTTTCGGTGACTTTTTCCGGTAACACAGTGACAATCCAACATCATCGGCAATCACCTCTTCGGCACCGCCACTGCTGTCTCCAGGTAGATCGCCTGCCCCAACACCCCAAACCTAAACCCAGAGGCCACCGTCCAGCCCAGGTGCCGCTACCACCCCACACTGCGCACTCCGCAGCCTCAGCCCTACCCATGCCCTTCCACAACCCTTATAAGTTCGTATTTCAACACGCATTTGATGTGTGTTTGGATTGAGTTTTGTCACATTTCCTAATATTATTTGAGTAAAAGCGTATAATTAGCTCAAGTCATGGTTTATCGAATTTGGTTTGCATTTGTTGTATTTAGAAGCAAAAATCCGGAATTTGAACCAGACATCGGCGTTAGAGGTTAATTTGAGAGGATTTGGGACCCTTTTGAGAGATGAACTAGATTACGTTTTTTGAGAGCTTTTCAAGCCTTGTTCATCAAGATTGTGAGATTCTTTGTAAGTTCTAACTATTTAATTAATGACAATTAATTTTTTTCGTCTCAATCTATTGATTGCTCAATCATGAATTGTGAGTAGTTTTAATTAGGGATTTGGGATTGATGAAGAGATTAATCATAATCTAGGGTTAAATTCTTGAGAGATTAATTGCATGATCTTTATTTAATTTGTGTTTGAATATTTTAATTGATATCTCTTGAATATTCACCGGCGTTTCTCAATTAAATAATTTTCATGTGATTATGCCTGATCAGCCTTGAAATCTGGTTACCCCAAAATCAATCCATGTTCCCTTATGTTATTAATTAGAAATAATCCTTTAGTTTAATATTTTATTCGCATTTTACTATTTCAACAATCCAAATTTCGCAAGCCGCGCGCAGCCTGCAATCGTGAATCGGCCTACAACAGCTTTTCAATGAATAAGGATTACTGGTAGTAGGAATCATTGAGACCTCTCTCTAGGGTGGATTTTCACCGCTAGAGTTTTCTTCTCCGCTATCGATTGTTTCGAGGAGTGGTCGTCTTCCCTACATTTTGTTAGGGTTTTTTGTTTCTGCCATTCGAGTTTCGTTCGTCAGCTGAGTTTTTCGTGGAACGAGAGCTTCATGCGGCTTTTCTCTTTGGAGTTTAGGAACGTCGCAAGGGCGGTGGGGTGCAAATTGTATTTTTGTGCGCGAAGAAACACAAGGCAATATGACAAAGTTTTCTTCTGCACCTTGGACATGTGTTTCAACGGCAAATATCAACGAGCGAATTGGCAAGAGCAAATTGGCGAGTGCAAGAAGAATAGAGTTTCAAATTAATTTTCCAGGGGGGTTGAAATTCTTTTCTACCATACTACTGCAGCTCGCCCTCTTCCGGAACCACCTCCAAGACAGGAAGAAATTTGGGGAAAATTTTTATTCTCGTATTATTTTTCCTTTTGTAGTACTTAGTTTTATTTCAGTTCAAGAATGTGTGGTTGGAGTATTTTGATTTTTGAAGAACTTTTGATAGGCAATACTGCACTTTCAATCATTTTAGGCTTCTTCTTGCCCGTTTTGTGTCTAGCGAGTCAGGGCTTATGATCGGATATGTAATAGCTATCTGGATTTTGTCTTGCGTGTTTGCTTTATATTAATGAAAAATCGTTTTGATGATCAAAACAATCCAAATTTCGCACAATTGCATTTATTTTATTTTAATCTTTGAAACTAGTTAATTCCTGATTCCCTTTTTCCGTCTCTGTGGATATGATACTCGTACTCTTATCCTATATTACTACATCTTTTTAAGTGCCAGAAAACTCACATCAAGCCCCCATCCCTAGCACCCTTCCAGCGGCTAGCTACCTGTTCGGCAAACCTTCCCAACCCTAGCCCTCCCCAACCGCCGCACCACCACCCGCAACTCTAGCTGCCGCCCATCGCTGAACCATAGACGTATCTGACGAAAATTTGGATTGAATTTTTTACTCTCTTTTTTGTCCACGCGAATCTTGGTCATATTTTTGTCCCAGGAAAGTTGTGGAGTAATATTTATGTCATTCTTTAAAAAAAAAATATGCTATTCTTTTGACAAATCATTGGTAGACGACGAGTCACTGAAAACTAGTCAATGAATATGTCATTTTTATTTTTATTTTTTTAGAATAAGTCATATTCTTGTTTTTTGAATTTAATTTAGTAATACTTATATATAAAGATACATGATTTAGTTTCAAAAGAAATACATTAATTAATGGCACAAAATGTATAATTATATACATTTAACTAATGGAAAACTCAAATAAGAAAGTCAATCTTTTTTATTTTATATTTATTTTAGTAAA